GAACCTGAATTTCAAATGGAACTCGGAGACTTTTGTAGCATGGCATCTTCTTGTGCACAGTCTCAGCTAGGACTCTGTTGTCTCTGGCAGCATGGCACTGGAAGAAGTAGAATCATAGGCCCGGCCAGCGTAGCTCAGTGATTGAACAACGATCCATGAACCAGGAGGTCACATTCAATTCCTGGTCAGGGCACATGTCCGGGTTGCGGCCTCAATCCCCAGTGGGGGGTGTCAGGAGGTAGCCGATCGATGATTCTCTCTTACCATTGGTGTTTCTATCTCTCTCCCTCTTCCTTCCTCTCTCTGAAAATTAATTTAAAAACATATTATTTTTAAAGTAGAATCACAGTATCACTCCAGGTCTGTGTGTAATTCTCAGAGTTGGTGAGTGCAGGACCAACGGTTAGATCTTTCCATCCCCCATGCAACCAGTCTAGACAGTTGTTCAGTGTGAAAGTGAAGATGATGATGATGATGATGATATGATGATGATATTGGGTTGGTTTGCTAAGAAATTGAACAAAGGGACTTTACCAGATAAAGAACTGAAGTACAGCCCTAACCGGTTTGGCTCAGCGGATAGAGCGTCGGCCTGTGGACTGAAAGGTCCCAGGTTCGATTCCAGTCAAGGGCATGTCCTTTGGTTGTGGGCACATCCCCAGTGGGGGATGTGCAGGAGGCAGCTGATCAATGATTCTCATCGATGTTTCTAACTTTCTATCCCTCTCCCTTCCTCTCTGTAAAAATCAATAAAATATATTTTTTAAAAAAAAGAACTGAAGTACATTAACTATATATTAAAGTTAATTTCTAAAAATAAGTAATTTTAATTTTAAAAAGAAATGTCTTCCCTAATAATAGACAAACATGTAAACTGACCATACCTTTGCTACGCTAACCAGCCAATCAGGAGAATATGCAAATTAACCTAACAAAGATGGCGGTTAATTTGCATACGTAGCTCCAAGTGATGGAGCGAAGCCTGGCAGCTCCGGGGCTGGCTCCAGCCCGAGCCCGGCCAGAGCGAAGGCCTGGGTGCCGGGGGCCGGAGGAAAACCGGTGCCGGCAGCCAGGGGAAAGGAAGGCCTATTGCACGAATCTCTTCGTGCAACAGGCCTCTAGTATAGTATAATCAAAGTGCTTTTCTAGGTCCAAGGAATATTAACATGAACAAGTTAAGAAATGGAAATCATAACAGAGCCCTTCCTGGGGGGCTGAGGAAGGTTTCACAGGGAAGATACCATGTAAACTGGCCTTGAAGGATGCTGAGGATTTCAACCAAAAGTAATAAGTCATTAAAGACAACAGTCAGAGCAAGGGCATGAGAGAAATGGCGCCTCAGCTGTGGGGCCCAAGCACACAGGGAGAATAGCTACAGACCAGAAGGATAAAGATGCTGACGGGTAAGGGTGTGCACCTGATAGTCTGAGGATACAGCAAAGCAGCAGAGATTTATAAATAGGGGATTACATAATCAGATCCATGGCAGGACTCCAGCAGTCATCTGAAAAGTGCACAGGAGAAGGAGGCATAGGAGGCAAGGAGATCATTTAAGAAGCTATTACATGAAAGACAAAAAAAGGCCTGAATTAAAGTAGAAAACAAGACAACTTTGACTATTTCAGATGATGATTCCAAAGGATCGGAGTTTTAAGATGATCAATTCCTGGTTCCTTACACTGGCCCTAAAATTCCTGCTTAGTCATGACAATGTGAGGCAAAAAATGGCAAGTTAATAAAGTAAAACAATTATTTCATTATAACAATTCCATAATAATTCTTTCTTAATAAGAAGATTAGAAATGGAGGCAGGCAGTCAAATTGGATTTTCTCCTTACTTTGACATCTCAGTGTTGAAGCATCAGTCAAATACCCAGGTTAGATGTTTGGACGAGTTTGAAATTAAGATTTGGGGCTTGGTAGATGGAATGTGGTGATATAATAAAGACTTTGTGGTTGGTCTTCATCCCCCGTTCCTGGCACAGACTGAGCCTATAACCTGTGGAGTCTGCACTCACTCCGGGCTCATGTCAGAATGAATTAAATCGTAGGGCACCCTTTGTGTCCGCATGGAACTGGAGAAGTGCATGTGGGATGGAACACTCACCTATTTATGTCACAGTGTTATGAGTAGAGACAGTTTTCCTCTAGTAGCCGAGTCAGGTGTGGGAGTACGGATTTGGCATCATTTGTGTGTGAGTATCAGCGTGCCGTCGCTCCCTGAGAGAAGGCGTATAGGCAGAGAAGAGTGCTACTCATGAGCTGGGCAAAAGCCTACATAAGGAGTAGGCAGTAGAGAGAAGCCAGCTGGGCAATGTGCGGACGGAGTGGTGGAGAAAAAATAGTGACCAAGAAACTAAATGTTTGAAAAATGGGCAGGCTGCCAACAGTGACCAACACTAGAGTTCACACAAGACAAGGACTGAGAAGAGACCACCGGATTTGGCAACAAGGCCACTAACTCCGAAAGTTCAGCGTCAGTGGGATGGTGAGAGAGGCTGGATCGCGCCAGGTTGAGAAATAAGACGTGACTGCATCCTTCTCTCCATACTTCAATTATTTCCGAAAATTATATGTTAGTATAAAATAAAATTATAGCTTAACATATTTCAGCACACTCTCTTTCCGCAGGGATGGTAACATGCAAAACTGTGGTCACTTTGGCTCTTAACGGTCAAGCATCCGCTGTCTGAAATGCCACGGTAAAGAACACCTCCTTCCCCCAACAGCAAAGTCCAAAACACAGTTTTGTTTTCAATGATGTTTCTACTGTACTTAAAGCATAAGCACAACCAGTAGAGAGAACAGTAACCCACCACACCCCTTGTGAGGTAAATCCACACCTATACATGAAAGGGCAAACACTGAACACGCAAGAGATTCAAAGACGACAATATTTTACACTTTATATGTATTTTCCAGAATTAAATTAAATGTCGTCGCTGCATTACTCTTGGCACTGGTGTTCTTTAACCCATTTACTAAAAACAAAACAAAATCAATGGAGTTACCCGTCCTGCTTTGGCCCCAGAAGTAGATCGGACCCCGGTTATGTTAAATTGACCTCTAAGTCAAACCACTGTCGGATACTTGTTGGTATTCCCTGACAAGAGAGCAACAACACCATTTTCAAAGGTACGTATGTCCTCTTACATGTCCACAGAGTGAAGCCATCGACAACGTGAAGATATTCCTGTTTGGTCCGATCTTCCTGGGGGAGGAGGGAACGAACATCCCACTACCATCATCTCCCTTTCAAAGGGCCACTTTGACGAGATTTGTCAAAACAACCTATTAGTCTTGGCAACTAGCCAATCAGACGAAAACGAACACCCAGCACCCAGGGAAACTAAATCTGGTGGGAGTTGCTTTTCTGTGGTCAGGTGGCTCAATTTCCCAATTACTGGTCAAACACTCGGACACCACCACCACCAAACCACCAGCCACACCAGGTCGTTTTCCACTCCCAATCATTTCACTTCATGTGAACATTGGGCCTCTGGGCAACTGAGAATTCCCTCTTCAACATCAGAACTATGGCTTATGGCTTCTGGTTTGTTTTTTTTTTTCTTTCATGAACTTGTAATGCTTTTATGACAAGGAAATAAAGCTTTTTGTTTGTTTAAAAAGTTCATTCAAGTCACTCTGGGAGGCCCCGTCTGGTGTCTTAGAGGAGGAATCCCAGTAGGCCATATAAGATCTATAAGCACAGCCAAAACCGGTTTGGCTCAGTGGATAGAGCGTCGGCCTGAGGACTGAAGGGTCCCAGGTTCGATTCCGGTCAAGGGCATGTACCTGGGTTGCGGGCACATCCCTAGTGGGGGGTGTGCAGGAGGCAGCTGATCGATGTTTCTCTCTCATCGATGTTTCTAACTATCTCTCTCCCTTTCTCTCTGTAAAAAATCAATAAAATATATTTTTAAAAAAAAAGATCTATAAGCACAGAAATGAGAGATTTGTGTTGGTTTTAGACTCTGCTGGATGCCCAGCACTTAAATCAGTCCTTTGTCCATGTGGACACCTAGACACAACCGTTTAAAGAATGGATCAGAATCCACATCTGTCAGACTCAGAAGTCTATACTCTACCTACCACATCAGTCTCCCAAACTAACTTGATAAGAATCATTTCCAGTATTTGTCAAAAATATAAATTCCTACAACTCTTCCTAGGCGTGCTGATTGAAGGCCCAGAAATATGTGCTTTTAGCAAAGACCCTAAATAATTCTGACCATCAGGCAAATTCAGATGTGTGGCAATGTTCCTTCTCCCAGCCTCCACACTCTCAACAGCTCAACCCTCCCTCACCAAACACCAACAACAGAGCACATTCATTGAGCACTGTTCTAAGTGGGTTAACACACCTGATGCTCATAACAACCCTATGACATAGGTACTACAACTACCCTCATTTTTTTCAGAAAAGGAGACTCAGGCACAGAAAATTTAAGAAGTTTGCACAAGATTACAGAGCTAACAACTGAGAAGTCCGGGACTTGAACCTGAAATTGTAACCAATACATGATTTTGCCCAGACCCGCTTGTCCCATTTGTCCCCAACGTGCTGGCCCCAATGTTTCCCTTCGGGTGTTCATTTTCTCTCCTGTTAATGAAATTCAACGGGTACGGATGCTGGACCACACCGGAGAGGTAACACTGGAAACGCAGAACCCCTGCTCTCGTGGAGTTCACACTCTGGGAGTTATGAGTGGTAAGCAAAGCGAGGAGGCTTATCTTTCATTTCATGTGAGCCCCTCACTTTTCGTACCAGTGTTTCGCATATACTAATGTTCAGTAATATTTGCCGAGTGAGGGAATGACCCACTTCCCTGCAGCATCAGAGGCCATTGTCTCTATCCGTCATTACCACTGGTGGCGGCTTACAGCTAAAGAACTGCCAGCAGGCGTGTCTCCCTTGATGAAGACCAGGAAGTAGAGCGCTGTAGAAGGACACAGTAATGCAAGCAGTTGAACTTGACTGAATGGATAGCTGTACTCACCAATCACCAGTGTACAAATCAGGAAGTGAGGCCTTGCCAGACACTGAAGCTGCTGGTGCCTTAACCCCCGACTCCCCAGCCTGCAACTGTAAGAAATAAATGTCCATCGTTTATGAGCCACTGGTCTATGGTCTCCTTGGTTTAGCAGCCCGAATGGACTAAAACCAGGGGTGGGCAAACTTTTTGACTCGAGGGCCACAGTGGGTTCTTAAACTGGACCAGAGGGCCGGAACAAAAGCATGGATGGAGTGTTTGTGTGAACTAATATAAATTCAAAGTAAACATCATTACATAAAAGGGGATGGTCTTTTTTTTCCAATAGTTTTATTCATTTCATACGGTGGGCCGTATAGTTTTATTCATTTCAAACGGGCGGATCCGGCCCGCGGGCCGTAGTTTGCCCACTGCTGGACTAAAACACCAGGTAAGCAGAAACTGTTGGTTAAGGCTCCTAAAAGGTAATCGGTTGCTATCCCACTGGAAATTTAAACCAAGTCCTAGAAGGTAGCTCTAAATCTTTGGTCTACATCTCTTGTAATTAAGTAATTAATTTGCATTTTAAATATAGTATTACCACCTTATAAGGAATGATAGAATTTTGAGGTTTTTTCCTAGTGTGTCACTTTCTTGCCTACTTAGGTAAGAAATTAGATTATCTATTGAGGCAAATGCCACTATTACACAGTCAACACTCATCTGTCTCTCCTTTTTCTGCCTTTACCATTTCTGCCTCTTTACATAGCCCCTCTGGGGAAATTCCCTGAGCTGTACTCAAACCAACCTCTAAGGAGCCCATAGACGGAAGAAAGGGGCTGACAGCTTCAGAATTAAACCAAGTTTATTAGGGGAACTTACAGACAGAAGCAGAGACTGGAGCGGCAGTGAGTTAGTAAAACCTTCACACCCACAAGCGGACGCAGCTTCATATATAGAGCCTCCACGAACACAGGTGACCTGCAGCCACGCCACGTGCTCATTACGCAGGTGCTCGTTAAGCAGGTGGCTTGTAGCCAAATGGCACGTGCTCATTAGGCACTGTGTGTGTGAAGCAGTGAGCGACTGACCTGGCCTCCTTTTCTATGCAAGAACATTGCTTTCAGGTGCTAGGAGCCACTCCTCCCAGCGCAGGCTGCTGGTCACTGAGAGCAACTTGCTTCTTAAGATGGCATCAGGCCCGGGCCAGTTTGGCTCAGTGGATGGAGTAGTGGACTTGGGGGTCCCTAGTTCAGTTCCGGTCAAGGGTGCATAGCCAGGTTGTGGGCCGGTCCACAGTTGGTGGAGGGGGGTTGCGGGGGGCAGCCAATCGGTGATTCTCTCTCATCGTTGATGTTTCTGTCTCTCTCCCTCTCCCTTCCTCTGTGAAATCAATAAAATATATATATATTTATTTAAGAATAAATAAAAAGATGGCATCCGTCAGGTCAAGCCCAGACACCAGTCTTCCTGACACCCTTACTTTGTTCACCTTCCCCAGATTGTCGCTGGCCTCCCCTCAGCTCTGCGCCAGTCCGTCCTGGAGGCTTTGCCCACACTCCCCGTTGGTGAGAGGCCTTGACATGTAACCCAATGAGCTGTGAGGGGAAATCTGCTGGGCTGGGAGGCTTTCCTTGTCTTCAAAGGGGCAGAAGGGCAGGTGCTCCCTTTCCCTGCTTCTGGCATCCTCTGTCATCTGCAGACAGCTGTGTTAGGGCCGTGAGGGAGGCAGCGTGCAGAACAAGCCGAGACGCTAAGAGGGCAGAGCAGACATAGGAAGGGGACCTGGTGCCGGGACGATGTCATCAGGCCATGGGAATTACCCAGCCCTGGGCGCGCCCTCCCTTCACACAGCTAGCTGAGTGGGATAACAAAAGGCTTAAAGATGGACGTTTAGGACGGTTTTCTGCCCCCACCGTTGAAAGCATTCCTTCTCTCCTTCAACAGTTCCTCTCCTAAGTGGTAGACTTCTCGATACAGTAGGTTGGATGCAGAGAGCTGAAACACAGGCAATCTCGTTTGTCCTCTGGCTTTGTAAAACTGCCGTGTTCACTTCACAGTGATTAAGAATGAGCGTGTCTTTTTATGTATGTCACCTTGTACTAACATTTTAAAAATAATTAAATACAAATAAAAGGGGAAATGTTTGCAACTTTAAACATGGGAAAAGCCACGGAAGAACCGTACATGGTCAGTAACGAGGAGAGGGGACTACCTTCTCCCCAACCTCCCGAGTTTAAACAACAGGACACACCGTTTTCAGCCACTAAATGGCCAAGGATAATCTACACACTACGTTTCCTGGCAGCCGGGGTCCGTGAACACGAAACCCGCTGGGAGGGCGAGGGCGGGGGCGGGAGAGCCCCGCGTCTGAGCTCGGGGACCGGCGCCTCGGCCCGCGGGCGGCTGGGCTCTGGGCGGAGACGTGGCTACAGCCGAGCTGCTGGGCAGGAGAGCAACACAGGTTGTTACCGTTTATTCGGCCTGTTTGTCCACGTGTGGACTTTTGTGGGAGACCCGGGAACAGCACTGGAAATGCAGGAACACGTTCCCAAAGCCTCGGAGGCGGGCGCACCGGGCGTGACTGGGCATCAACGTGGAGGGCGACGGAGGGTGGAGGGAGAAGGTGGTGGGAGGTGACGGGGGGCGGGCGGCCCAGGTGGGGAGG